CGTCTATCATTGGAAATGATCCATTTACGTTTTGAAGGAATAACTGTAAAATCATCGTGCCTCTGTGAGTTGTAACTAGTGAGTGGACCTAGCTGACCACCAAACACTGCAGTCCACTAGTCATCAAAGATGCAGTAATTCCTGAGAGTTATAAAAAGTGTTACTTTGCCCAAAAAAATGCCTTCTCTCAAGAAATCCAACTGCTAATGCTGGTTTGGAAGCAAGCAATGTGAAGAAGAATAAGGAAATGATAACATTTAGCCACAACTTAGAAGTTTTATGAGAAAAAAAATTGACTTGGCGTCATTTGCAAGTCTGGGTCATTTGTAAATTAACATCTTTTTTCCTAAAAAAAAAAAAAAAAAAAGAACAGACAAGCTTCTATTGTAATTATATTTTACAATCTTATAGAATGAGAAACTCCTAGGCGTAACTAAGTAATTCTAAAAAAAATAATTTTCTATTGATTTTAAATCACTGCTTCATTTAACCCTATTTTTTTCTCATATTTCAATAAGACATTTACTTCAACCAAACCAGAATTTCTGCATGTCTGAATAAAGTCACCTCCACTATCTAAGGCACTCATTTTATGTTTATATTTTATATTTAAAAGTACTAAACGCAGAGTGAAATACCTTTGGATTCTAATACTAGTTCTGCCATTCATTATCTAAGAGTCCTTAGAAAAATTCTTTAATCTCTCTAAGCCTCTATTTCCTTTAAACGAGATGATGCTATTATCTGCAAGACAAGATTATTATAAGAATTAAATGACATAATTAATGTAAAACAATTAACATAATGCCTAGCCTAAGATTAGTCTTCAATAACAGTTAGCTCTTATATATTATATTATTATTACAAACTGTAACAGAGGTAGTAATAAGCTGGTGAGGGTTTAGCTAAGCTACTCCATGGTATTGCTGCCTTGGCAACCATTTTGTTTGGCTAAGTGGTCCGCAGGGTCCTTAAACTGACCCCAGCCACTTCATGCATGCACACGCCCTAGATAACAACCTGCAGAGTCACAAGCAGTAACATCCTGATATGACTTCCCCAAAAGCTCTTGTGATCAGTAGTCTGCCCTTGTGCACCTCCTAGATAACTCCCCCAAGGGACTTACCAAAATCCTGCTCTTTTGGTTTGAATTGACCAGTCTAACCTTTACCTGGGAACCCCAAAGCACTCCACCCACAGACCCTAATAAAGGCATGTGCTCCAGCTCCTCTCTGTCTGTCTATACTCTGCCTTGACCTCCCCAGGTGGCCCTTTGAGGCATGTGAGTTACTTCCTCCAGGACCTGTGAGTAATAAATTTCTCTATTTCAGTTTCTCCTGTGGTCTGCTGTTAAAACTCAGCCCACCATCTAGCACCCTGTGCTCCACTTAACAAGTGTTGATTTGACAGATTCATAACATAACCTCTAAAACACCGATGCTATCATCAAATTTCCTAGACCTAGCTGTTTCTTGGCCGCTCTAGGAAGCTGGAGGACTTTGAAACACAGTCTCAGTGACACTCATACTGAGTGGCCTCTTCCCAGGTATTGCTCAGAAAAGGGCAGCACTTCTCTCTGTGCGCTTCATCTTTAAAGATATATCTCATTGTTTTCCACTGGAAACCAAGAGGCTTTGAGGAGATCCTGAGACAAAATCTGTGGTGCAAGTAGTCATTTAAGTTTGTTGATTTAGCACCAGCATTCTAAGACCCTTAATTTCTCACCAGCCCTGTCTGTGTTAATACAATTTACAGTCATTTTAAAAAGAAAACTATTATCTCCAGCATGTAGATTAATAGACACCAAATCATTTAGTCTGGCGCTTATGCAAATGCTTTTGTCTTCCTCCGGACAGGGTGCTCAGGAGGGCGGGCAGTGAGAGAGAGCTTGTTTTGATAATAATTCAAGTGGTTCTGTAGGTCAACATAGCCCTCAAACATGATTCACAAACTGAAAAAATCAAAGTCATAAATCACCCCAAATCTAGTGCAATGGCTCCCTCTTTGCCTTCTTCCCTTGCTCATTATACAAAGGTGTTTTTACAACACGATAATGACCAATTAGTATCCAGAACCCCACGATGCGTTTCCTTGGAAAATTTCCAGGGAAAGATGATCTTCTCCTTGCAGTCTTGTCATCCACTGACACTTCCACTGGCAGACAATTCCACTCAGGGCTTCTAGCATCATCCTACTCCAGCTTGCAATAAAGAGATGGACATGCCGAGTACATTGAGCAACCTCCCACCAACTCTACTTGCATTTTTTAAGAGAAAAACAATGTGGACTTGCAGCATATTGTCAGCAACCTCAATTAATGATATTGAGCGCGTGGTTCACATTGTTCTTTCACTAAAGAATTAGAGAGATGGAGAGAAAGCCACAGATTTAGAGTTGGACCATCCGCATCCACGACCTGCCTGCGGATGCTTGTTAACTGTGTGACCTTAAGCAAAGCGATTAACCTTCTAAAATTGAATTGCCCTTGCTAGGTGCCACATCCCATCCATCACCAACTCCTGTCCTTCTTAATGGCTCCAAAATATGTCTCAACTCCATTTCCTTCTTTCCATCTCCACGGACACCACGGTAGTGCAGCCTTCCATCACCTCTTTACTGGACTCTCTTAGAAGTTTCCAAACTGGTCTCCCTGCTTCCTCTCCTGAACTTCTGTGATCCAATTTCCACACAGAGTGATCTTATAACTCTGCACACAATTCCAACATGTGGAGGTTTTAACCCCGCCACCAAGCAATTCTTCAACACCAGCTGGGTGTCTTACAATTCAACTCAATTCTGACACTATCTACATGAAAATATTGTCAGATTCCACAGGTTAAGGGCTTAGTCCTACAAGATGGCTCCCTACTCCCTCAGAAGCCAACCGTAAGTCCAGGTCGTCACCTGGGCTTCTGACCAGCTGGCTGTAGATTGAAGGTTCCCACAAATACCTCCGTGGGTTTGATTAATTTCCTAGAGCAGCTCACAGAACTCAGAGAAACATTTCACTTACTGGATCACTGGTTTATTATAAAAGGATATAACTCAGGAACAGCCAGATGGAAGAGATACATAGGGCAAGTTACGTGGGAAGGAGCACAGAGCTTCCAAGCTCTCTCCAAGCTCTCTTCAACACTGTCCACAAATCTCCACGTGTTCACCAACCTGGAAGCTCTCCAAACCCTCTCCTTTCGGGCGTGTGGAGGCTTCATCACAGAGGCATGGTTGATTAGACCATTGACCATTGGTGATTGGTGATCATGTCCAGCCCTTCTCCCCTCCGCAGAGGTCGAGGGGTAGGACTGAAAGTTCCAACCTTCTAATCATAAGGTTCGCTCCACTGGCAACCAGTCATATCCTTTTCTGTTTCCAAAAGCCACCTCATTATCATAACAAAAGACAGCTTTATCTCTCTCATTATTTAGGAAATTCCAAGGATTTTAGGAGCTTTGTGCCAAAAATGGGACGAGGACCAAATAAATATTTCTTCTTATAAATCACAATGTCCCAGATCTTAAAACAAATCAGATCATATTTCTCCACTGATTAAAATTACTTTTGGCTTCCCATCTCCAAAACTTTTTACCATGGCTTCTGAGTGCCTGCTTAATCTGGCCCCTGCCTACCGCTCAGACCTCATTTCCTCCTTCACTCTCCTCCCAGCACACCAGCCTCCTTTCTGCTCTTCAAAAACGAACAGGTCTTTCTGACCCCCATGCTTTTGAACTTGCTGGTCAGCCTGGATGGAATGCTCTTTCTCCACATCTCTATATGACTGTTCCTTTTCAGCCTTCATATTGCTTTGTATCAACGTTATCCCATCTAAATGTCATCTGTGCATAGTACTTTTCATATCAATCTGTTTATTTCTTTCATAGAACTTATCACAAATTAAAAATATATATTTATTATTTACTGGCTCTCCCACTTAATATAAATGTTATAGGGCTGGGAACAGGCATGTTTTACTCACAGTTGTATCTCTATTGCATAACTTTAGTAGGTAGAATTCTAGGATGGCCCCCAAGATTCCTGACCCCTGGGATACACACCCTGTATAATATGATAAGGTTACAAATATGGGAAAGATGAAGACATTTTGTAGATATAATTAAAGTTCTTATTCAGTAGACTTTGTCTTAATCAAAAGGGAGATTATCCTGGGTGGGCTGGCCTAATCAGGTGAGTCCTTAAATGAAGTCAGAGAGATAAGCAGCAGCAGCAGATTCTTGCCCAGTGTCTTGAAGAAGTTAGCTCTCATGTTCTGAGAGAAAGAGGCCACACGGCAAGGACTTGAGGGTGGCCTCTGGGAGTTGAGAATGGTCCCCAGCCAACTACCAAAGAGGATTTCAGTCACACAACCACAAAGAAATGAATTCTGCCACCAACCAGTGAGCTTGGAAGAGCACACCAAGCATCACATGAGATAGCATCCCCAGACACCTAAATTTCAGCCTGATGAGACCTTGCGTGGAGGACACAGCTAAGCCGTGCCTGGATTCCTGACCCCCAGAGCATGTGAAATAACAAGTGTGTTTGTTTAAGCCACTAAGCTTATGGTAATTTGTTACACACCACTAGAAAGCTGATACAAACAGCAAAGTGCCTGGCACATGGCAGGCCTGCAGTAAATACCATTGAATGAATGAATATCCAATTTTACTTTTAAATGCTTTCCTGGAGCTAAAAGATCGATTCACATATGGAAAAGAAGGAAAACACAAAGGAAGTGAGCATTTGAAGGGGAAGATGAAAAAGGAAAGGAAGAAACCAAATGTGGGCAAATGCTTCATGGTCATTCCAAGGATGAGCCCTGACCACACAGCTCAGAATATATAATCCATTACTTATTTGCCCAAATGTCTAGGACTATTTGGAGAAGGAAATATTGGGGAAATTGACATGGAAGGATGGATTTTACTCACTGCAAATTAAAGAGGGTTGTATTCAGAAGAACTAAACACAAGAAATTCAACAAGAATTCCAACAATGGTGGGAAAAAAAGCAAATTTATTCCTGATATTCCCAGAAACTCAAACAAGGCAGAGACCATCCATATCTCATGGAAACCTCAGTACACTTTGAAACCTTCAAGTCAATACACAAAGCAGAAGAGCCTTAGAGGCGTTTCTGTTAGTTTGTTTTGTTTTGCTTTGTCTTTTTCCTCCTTCCCAGAGGAGTGGAAACCTATAATCCACACCTTAATTACAGCAGCAAGCCGTCCCTCCTAAGATTTACCAAGCTGTTCACGGAGGCCTCACAGGGTCCCAGCCTGTGCACTTAGAATGAATTGCAGCAAGGTTGGGAGACACAGATTTTCTCTCTGGCTCTGCAATCGTGAGCTGTGAGACCTGTAACAAGTCTCCTCACTTCTGGTCAGGCAGTTGTAAGAGGGGAATCGCAATTCCAGCTATCCATCACCACTAGGGAATTAGGGTGAGGGTCACACGAACACAGAGGTAAGTATCTGGAGCCATGCAAACGTGCAGCTTACTAAGAGCCAGTCCCACAGAGGAATCAGTGAACTGGCAGAGATCTTGTCTTCTTTCTTTGTATTCTGCTCAGCAATCAATAAAAAGCTGTGGACACAAGAAATAAGCAGGCGTCCAAGGCTGTTGTTGAAGAATTTATCCCACCAGCACTCCCAGGGAACCAGCACATCAGAAAAATGCAGAACAGCTATTGTTTACCAACAAGGCACTGGGATCCATAGGCTGTTTTGCAGACAAGATTAGTTTGCATTGCTGATGCTAACTTTGACTTGTTATTTACACAATGAGTATTATTGAATGCCTTGTCTATGTCTGGCTGTAAACATTAGGTATAGAGTGGCAAATGAAACAAGTCCCTTGTCTTCATGGAGGATGCAGTGTCCTCTGAAGACAAGCTTCGCCTCCCGCACCCCTCCCCGGACATCAACTCATCTACACATACCTCCAAATTTTTTCATCCTACCACTTTGTTGAGACACCTCCTTCATGAAGACCTCCCTCAGTCTCCCCAGCTGGAAGTTGTCCTCAGAATATCCAGGCACTCAAATTGAGGTAGGAACTCATCATCAGCTGTCTCGTGATACATACTTTCCTTCTCTACTTCAAGCAGCTGTAAGGTAAAGAGGTCACTTTGATCTTGGTATTACACACAACACTGCACATCTCACCCGAACGCAATGACTGCCCATCAATATTAGTGGTTGTCAACCTTGTTTTTTCAACACATTGTGTCTCATATAATTTGATATATATGGCATATAAATATACAGTTTATGGATCCCTTTACTTTTAAAAGTAAATTAGAGCATATGGAAAGGTTACCCCTATAATCTTATTGCCCTGACTCAAGTCATTTTGAGTGCTCTCTTGAGTGGAAGAGGGAGAGATGGAGTTATCACTGGGCAGCTGGTAATTATGCATGACCTGAGGACATCCATGGGACTTTGCCATAGACATGATCCTTGCCCTTGATTCAGATTGTCTAACCAAACAAATAAAATGAAAAAATATGGAGAGTTGATTTTTTCAAGACATTTAAAAATATTTTATAAGCAATATAAGAGAGCAGAGAGTAAACATCAAATTAAAAATCTTCTGCACAGCAAAGAAAACCATTAACAAAAGGAAAAGACAACTTAACAATTGGGAGAAGGTATTTGCCAATCATATATCTGATAAGGGGTTAATATCCAAAATCTATAAAGAATTCATACATCTCAACAACAAAAAAACAAACAACCCAATTAAAAAATGGGCAAAAGATCTGGACAGACATTTCTCCAAAGAAGATATACAGATGGCCAACAGGCACACGAAAAGATGTTCAACCTCACTAACTATCAAGGAAATGCAAATCAAAACCACAATGAGCTATCACCTCACCCCCATCAGAATGGTTATAATTAACAAGGTGAGAAATAAGAAATGTTGGAGAGGATGTGGAGAAAAGAGAACTCTCATACACTGCCGGTGGGAGTGCAAATTGGTATATCCACTACAGAAAACAGTATGGAGATCCCTCAAAAAATTCAGAATAGAACTACCATACGATCCAGCTATTCCGCTGCTGTGTATTTATCCAAAGAACATGAAAACACAAATGCATGAAGATATATGCATCCCTATGTTCATTGCAGCATTATCAACAATAGCAAAGACTTGGAAGCAACCTAGGTTCCCATCTAACAATGAATTGATAAAGAAGACGTGGTATATATACACAATGGAATATTACTCAGCCATAAAAAAGGATAAAATCTGGCCATTTGTGACACCATGGATAGACCTTGAGGGTATTATACTAAGCAAAATAAGTCAGAGAGAGAAAGTGAAATACTGTATGATCTCACTCACAAATAGAAGATAAAAACAACAACAAACAAACACAAAGAGACAGAGATTGGATTGGTGGTTACACGAGAGGAAGGGGAAAGGGAGGAGGGTGAAAGAGGTGATTAAGCACACGTGTGTGGTGATCGATTGTAATCAGTCTTTGGGTAGTGAACAGGATGTGATCTACACAGAAACTGAAATGTAATGATGTACATAGGAAATTTATATAGTGTTGTAAACAATGTTATCACAATAAAAATAAATAAATATATAAAAATGTTTTATAAGTAATATAAGAGAGCAGAGAGTAAATATCTCTTCTCTCTAAACTGATTGTCCATAGCTAACCATCATTAACAAGTTTGTGCACGGCCTTCCAGATTTTTTTCTACGCCCATATATTCATTGTTACATTCCGATGTGGAGTCGTACTTTAAAGCTCTACCCTATTCTGTATAAGGCAGACATAGTATTCCACTGTATAGATGCTCTGTCATTTATTCAGCCAGTCCTTGTTTGTTGGACACTTAGGTTGTTTCCATTTTTTATTAATACAAATAATGCTGCAATGAACATTCTTGTACCAGTTTTGTGCACTGATGTGACTGTTTTTGGAGGAGAGATTCCTTAAAATGTTCATTGGTAATATCTAAATCTGAAGCGTACCTCCCTTCTGACCCTGCAATGCCACTTTTTGGCTACTCTTTGACAGATTGTCATCTTCTGAGCACTGCACAGTGCTCCCTCCCTACAACCCCTATTCTTCTACAACAGCTTGAGGTACAAAACTTTGGAAAGGAAGAAGAAAACTGTTCAATTGATGCTATCAAGAGGAATGGTGATTTCTATTGTGTCAGATGACCAGTAGGCAGTCACTGTATCTACCAAAGATAGAGAATCAAAACTCAGTGATCATACTTATCAGTCCACTATGTGCAGCTTCTCTAGGGATTCTGATCTAGGGAAGACTCAACAGTTTGAAGGATTTGGAACCTGCTTGCTTGAAACTCAGAAATTGACCTGCAAATATTGTGAGATTGGGCAATCGTTCATTGCCCCTCCTCCACTATCCATCATCTTTATCTCAGACCCAGCCAGTGATACTTTGGGATCCGTTCCATAGTATTCTCCAAGCCTTTTGGATTATAGCCTCCCAGTGGGCAGTAAAAATGAGAGGGGTGGCAGACAAACCTTTCATTTCCTTTCATGCACAGGCCTCCAAGTTGGGCAAAGTGTTCCAAGAACTTTCCCAGTTTCCTCATGCCTGTTATAAATTCAGGGAACTTTGCACTTCAGAACAGATCTGTGTTTATTAAACTACTCTCTAAAAGTGAATCTAGGGGCTGGCCCCATTGCCTAGTGGTTAAGTTTGCTGTGCTCCATTTCAGCAGTCTGGGTTCAGTTCCTGGACATGAAACTACGCCACTCATCAGCAGCCATGCTGTGGCGGTGACTCACATACAAAATAGAGGAAGATTGGCACAGATGTTAGCTCAGGGTGAGTCTTCCCCAGCACAAAAAAAAGTGAATCTATAAAACACAATGGAGCTCTTCTGTGAAGCTGGAATAGTCTTGGTACACCACTTGATTGAGCCTATGAGAAGGAATGACCAACCCCAAAAATGTCATCAGCTTCCAGCATGAAGAAACAGATAAAACAGGCTCCTAGAGCATGAGAGGCTGCTGGCCCACAGGGAGAATCAAGATAGGGATTTGCACAGTTGACATCCTGCTTCTGTTTAAAGCCACAACTGAGTCTAGCTCAGGGCTTGTAGACTGAGTGCTTTCAAACCTGCCCACATGATGTTCAATCAGTTCAAGGAAGACTCTTTAGTTCCCAGGGATGGAGAGTCCAAATCAAGATAGGGAAGTAGACAAATTCATCCTCAACTCTTGACTGCTCATGGAGTGACTCTGAGTGGTAGCTCATATGGAAAATAATATCTATTGGGGGAAAAATAAGCCCTGAGAGTCTATAATGTAAAATAGACCAAGGATATAAAAGGGGCCCATAATCACCTTTCCCACCATGGCCACCAAGGTCATAGTCTATTCTACTATATGAAATGGATAAAAAAAATTAGCCTTCATCCACTGCAGCTAAGGGGGATGCTTAATAGTGTTACACAGGAAGTGACACAGTGGGGGATCTTTTTCAGCTTGGAGACATTGAAAATTATCTTTTCTGCCTGCAAGGAATAGAAATGAAAAGCCCTCCCCCTTCCACCAAAGCTCAAACAGACTACAGAGGCAGCAGTAGGTGAGACACAGAAGATTCTATAGAAATAGAGAAGTTATTTCTGGATAATTGGCAGCAGACATGTTTCAGAGCACATGGGAGGAAGAATCTCCATGGCAACACAGTTGATGATGGCTCCACATTTAAACTAAATGTTGAGGCTTTACACTTTCAGAGACTGAGGATTTCCTGTAATTTTTGATAATAAGTTCTTTAACTCAGGGAAGCAAGCATTCCAGCAGAGGTCCACATAAGGCAAGAAGAACATGAGATATGCAGAAAAAAATTCACAGATTTGAGAGGTTTTATAAAAGAAAGAAAAATCCAGATCAAATGAGAATAGAGTCATTGGCTAAAGCTTTCAGCAATTCCTAGCAAGGATCAACTGGATATTAATCACAAGCCCTATTGTACAGCATTTTTAGTTCTATATAATTATGCTTGTTTCAAGTACACAATGAAGCTGTACATAATGTTCCCTAACATCATTTGTTTATTCTCAATGAACGCTTTTTTGCCCTTATAAAGTTTTGTGTTATAAATGGATAGACACCCATCTCATTCAAGATTCTGGTGTCTATGGTAAGCTCAGGTGATAACACCCCTTGCAGAATTCTTCATTGGACAAAGCTAAGTCCATCTGTGAGAGCAGACAACACTCTCCTGCCAGCACAAAAGCACATCAGAGATGTCTTTGTTCTTGGTGTTTATTTTGATATGCTATCCTCTGTTTGAAAATATTGCAAAGGGAACGGGGAATAATAGTGATCTTGATGCCCCACGCAGTCCATTCTCCCATTCATTTCCCTTTAAAGACTGGGCAGATGGAAGGTTGGCTATTGGCACCTCCAAGAACCCATTTCAGTGCCACATGTGACACCACTGGCCCTGACTACCTCTTTGTCCCACTGGCCATGCTGCCTCCATCAATCGATTCTTGGTTAAAGATCTGATAAAATGAAGGCTTTCTTTTAGTGCATAGTTTTAAACTTGTACTATTCCCAAAGATACTAATAGTTTAGCAAGAGAACAAAACCATTAGTCAAAGAAATTTAGACATCAAAAAGTTGCCAAGGGTCTTTTTAGTCAATATAAACAGATATTACAGGCATGCAGACAGTTAAATGGCAATATTTTAAAAAATCTGACCCTGTTCTTATGCTTAATTTTCTACTACCTCATAAAGCAATGCAATCTACCCTTAACACAAGAAAGGAAATTCTTAAAGCATTTATTATTTTTTGTATTATTTGACCCAGAATTTCAACTTCTGGTAATTCATCCTAAGCCATCCAAAATATGAAAGAGTTTTCAGCAATGTTAATCACAGTGCCATTTTAATAGCTAAAAATTGGAAATAATCTAAATGTCCAGCAATAGGAGAGTGATTAAGTAAATTATGATACATTCATTTATGATGAGATAATACCTTAAAATATTAATTTCTGTGGTTTTCTTTTCTGTACTCCATTATACATGACCCTTCTCCTAGTTAATCAGAGGCATTCAAATGAAATTGGGGTTCTTATGGTAAGAAG